ATTCAGCAATCAAACCAGAAGATCGAAACAACAGACCGGTCGCTCGACGCGACATATACTTATACCTATTATCTTGTAAGCGATTGACAAATCAAATCAAATAAACAAATAAATAGAATACAAAAGCAAATATTAGGGAAATTAGGGAAGGAAACGGGGAAGTTAATAGTGGGAAAAAGGGAAAAAAAGCATTGACTTCCAACTCCTTTGGTGCAGTTGAATAAGGCATTAAGGTCTACGCTCAACTTTTTATTTTTTCTTAATAGAAACAAGCCATTTCTCTAACAAATCTATCCAATTGGTAAAACCCAAGATCAGTTTCATCTTTTTCCACCTCAAGCACAAAGTCTAGAAGTGGTTTCCAAGTCAAAGTAAAGGTGTTTGTGCTTTTTTCTTTAATCAGAGCGATCAATTTAGCCATCTCTGCTAAATCCACCAGTTTTTGCAGCCATTTATCCATTGTGGGGGGTTGAGGTGACCTTCCATTTCTGTGCATAGTCTTGCTGCCGTCAGCATATATAACATTTGTTCTGGTGATCATCCATTTGCAAGCATCAATCATTCCCTCGCCTCCGCCACCTCCAGTCCTAATTTCTAGCACCATGGACAGTGCAGTGATCCAAATCTTTGTACTCAATCAAATGCCTAGGTCAGTGGTGGCTAACCTTTTTCATCTCCCCTGCCAAAAATTGCACTCGCGTGCCAGCACCCAGAAGGCAATGCGCACAGCCCCCACCAACCCCCGTGCATGCGCACAAACCCCCTGTGCACACCATGCATCTCTACACATGCGTGCACAATTCCCCTGCGCCTCATGCATCTCTACACATACGCGCGCAACCCATGTGCCCTGCGCATCTCTGCACGGGCGGCTCCCGCATATCCCCATTTTCCTATGCATGCATGCACACCAGATACCCAACAATCAGCTGTTGGGTGCGTGGCACACGCACATGCACAGTGGGGCTTTTCCAGGCAACCTCTTGTGTGCCGGTAGAAGTGGCTCTGCGTGCCACTTCCAGCATGCCTACCATAGGTTCACCATCATGGGCCTAGGTAATCCTTGATTTACAATCACAATCAGGACTACAATCCATTGGTAAGCAAAGGGGTTGTTAAGTGAGTCATGATATCACCATGCCCAATTTTACCAGCTTTTTTTGGCCAGGGTGATTAAATGAATCACACCCTTGTTAAGCGAATCTGGCTTCTTCCACTGACTTTGCTTGTTGGAAGCCAGCAGGGAATGTTGCAAATGGCGATTACATGACCTTGAGATGTGCAAAATTGCAAATACTCACATTTTTTTCAGTGCTTTTGCAATCCTGAACAGTTGCTAAATGAATGATCCTAAGTCAAGGAGTATCTGTATCAGGGAGGATGTTATCAGAAGTGGAAAATATTTACATTTGGGGTAGTCCTACATGAAAATTCAAAGGATTGTGCAAATTCAAAGGATTGTATTGAAATAGGAAATAAATAACTAGATAAACTCCATTATTGGCATTCAGAGGAGCAAATGGAAACTTGTTACATAAGTGCTTGCTTTCTATTAATGGCTGCTAGACAATTGATAAGAGCCACAGTGGTGCAGTGCTTAGAATGAAGTACTGCAGGCTAACTGCCAGTAGTTCGATCCTGATTGACTCAAGGTTGACTCAGCTGTCCATTCTTCCGAAGTTGGTAAAATGAGGACCCAGATTGTTGAGGGCTATATGCTGATTCTCTAAACCACTTAGAGAGGTCAGTAAAGCATTGTGAAGCGGTGCTATCATGAAAGAAAGACCAGAAAAATCTTTTAATATCACTCTGGTTTCATAGATGTTGGCAAATAGCCTTTAGGGAGAAGTTGATTTAAAAAAAAAAAAGAACAAAGACAAATGAAGATTTAAAGCTATAAGTTGCCAGTTTCAAAGTTTGGTATATAGCCTTTATTATATAAAATAGGCATATGAGACATAATACACATAGTAAGACCAGCATCTGTTGGAAGTGGGAAAGAGCAGGATGGTACAAGCTATATTGTGGTTTTCTACATGTCATGTCACGTGGATATCACAAAGAAGTGTAGCTTATCATGTGACACCACTGTCATCATTCTGACAAAGTAGTAAGATACTGTGGAAGCCACTGCATAGATTTTTGTTTTAGTTTGTGTGTGTGTGTGTGTGTGTGTGTGTGTGTGTGTGTAGTGTGTGTGTGTGTGGGGGGGGGGGTTTCTTCAATTATGAGTTGTCTGGGCCTTACTGATCCATCCGTCTTATAGAATTTCCTGAAAGCACATTTTTATATAAGGCCTGCAATATAAATATTAAACACTGTAAAATAATTAGTTTTCGGGAGTGGGATGGGATGGGATGGGATGGGATGGGAAGGGAAGGGAAGGGAAGGGAAAGGAAAAGGAAAGGAAAGGAAAGGAAAGGAAAGGAAAGGAAAGGAAAGGAAAGGAAAGGAAAGGAAAGGAAAAGGAAGCCTTGAATATAGACTAT